TACATCATCCACCCTTCCATCTACTGTAGAAGGGGATCACTATTAGCACATTATGTAACAGGTGCAAAAGCATAAGTTTAGAGAGGTGAAGCAATTGAGTGAAGGTGACACAGCTGGTAAATAAAGGAGTTGAGATTTGTTCTCTGCATCTGACCCCAGAGCCCTCTCCTCACATGTTCTCTATTGGTGATTCTGGTCTGGCGAACAAATGACAAGGACGGCATTGTGTTTGGTGAGGAAAGGCAAATATTATTAGAAGTAGGAAATTGGAGACTGGTCAATGTTCCATTAGCTTCTCCCATGTGCCTCTCACCCCACAAATGAAGAGCAGATGTGAACATTGCTGCCAGCCACTCACTTGTCCGACGAGAACTGACTTGGCTGTGCTCATTACAAAATTAATTTTGAGGTCTCGGTGGATTTAACAGGGCATGTAAAGTGTGTGTCTCCGCAGGATTCACTAACTTTAATCTACAGGTGTTTTTTAATCTAGTAAAAATCTATTTTTTATTTGCAGTAGGATAGTGAAGAAAAAAAATCTGTGGAAAGGTCCTGGATGCCTCAGAGGAAAACGTGATTAGATGGTTTTGTGTTTTAGTTACACACAAGAGAAACTTCTGAATTACTTGTTAAAAAGGGATGATGTGCCCCACTTTTGGTTTCAATTCCATTACACTTATCTCCAGGAATTAGCAAAAACATTTCTAATAATAAAAATTATTAACCACTATTTGACATAAAGAATAGCTTGGCTGATGATGAAATTTATCCTGACACACAAATATTTGTTTTGAAAATGGCAGAAAGCATTAGAAATTCTGTTAACTCTTTGTTAAAAGAAAGATAACTCCAATGTTCACTCCATAGATATTTTTCATGATATAGAATGAGCAGAAACATTTGCATTTTAGAGTAACAAGGACCACTCGGGAAAATTTTTTTCTGAAATAGAATAAAACATGATTGATTTACACTCTGTGTTGGCCCTGTATATTTGAATTACTTATGATTCCATATGGGCTGGGGTGACATTTACATTTGCTGTATCTACAATGAAAGGATTTGTTAAATAAATTCATGCAGTAAGTAAAGGAGATTTTACAGCAATTTAATAATTATTGTCTGAAAATAGTGCTACTAACTTCCAGTCAGTCTTCTTCCTCCCTCTCATTCCCGAGATCTCCAGGTCTGGTGGTTGGTGGCTCCCCCTTCATCCTCCTCCCAAAGGCTCATCTGGAGGCAAGACTAACTAAACGGAGTGTGTTCTTCCCCTGCCTGGAGTGGGCTCTGCTGGTGGACTACACGTTTCTGTCCGCGGTGCCGTCCCTGTCTTCCAAGTGTGTCAATGTGAAGAAACCACCCTTGGGACGAGCTTCCTTCTCCCTCGTAAGGCCATCCTGGGATTGTCCCCAAGCTCAGTTCACTCTTGCAAATGTCTTTTCAGTTTTCCATTCTTCCTTCCACTTCCTAGCTTTGGAAATAGCTCCATTGTTTTATAGCCCTTAAACTTTGACACCTGGCCTGACATCTGGCTCTTGCTTTTGAGGCTTGGTCAGGACCATCCACCGTCAGCTTCTCATCCCACTCCTGGACTGTCCCTGCTCAAATATCTCCTGCTTTCCCACTTGGGTCTTCTCCAAAAATCAATCAAAATAACTTTTCTAAAACACTCATTTTCTTACAACTTTCCCACATAAGGACCTACAATGTCTTCTTGTTGTGTATTTCAGAAAATACATATGTCTTTTTCCTATATGTAAAACCCTGTATCACTTGGCTTTCCTTTGGTTATTCAATCAGTAAATCACAATTTCCTTTCCTAGTCCTGGAGCAGATCAGAGGGTCTAGTTAGGCTATTGTCCTTATCTCGGCCCCCCACCCCACCCCACCCCATCCCAACACACACACACACACACACACACACACACACACACACACACAGGGAGTTGCCTCTCAGTTTTTACTGGAGGAGAGGCTATAACCTTGGGATACCCTGTGTTCCAACCACCTGGATTCTTCCAATTAATGATGATTTCTTTAAAAATCATCTCCAGAAATCTGAAAAGCAGTATGTCAGTCATGTGGTCAAAACCAACATGAAGATTGGTTAGGTCATGATGATAGTATGAATCCTTGATATGAAGTGATAAAAATGGCAAACTCTGTGATCTTCTCCCCCCAAAAAACATTTATAACCCCAGTCTAATAATAACCATCAGACAAATTTTATTTTATTTTTTTATTATTTAAAAATATTTATTTTTAGAGAAAGGGGAAGGGAAGGAGAAAGAGAGGGAGAGAAACATCAATGTGTGGCTGCCTTTCATGCACCCATACTGGGGACCTGGTCTGCATCCCAGGCATGTGCCCTGACTGGGAATTGAACCAGAGACCTATCAGTTCTGGGCCAGGACTCAATCCACTGAGCCATGCCAGCCAGGGCACCATCAAATTTTAATTGAAGGATATTCTTTCAAATACCTGACCAGTGACCCTCAAAACTATCAAGTTCTCCGTAACAATGACAGTCTGAGAAATGTTTATAACCAAGAGAAGCCTAAAGAGAAATGATGACTACATGTAATGCATTCTGAATGGTGGATATTAGTAACAGGGAAAACCAGTGCAGGTTTATGGAAACTACCTGTAACATTTCTGCACTTTTCCTATAAATATAGAACTATTCAGTAATAGTTTATTAAAAATAAAACTTGCAAAGTTAAAAAAATAATCTTGTCCAAAGAAACTAAGACTAGCTTTCATCCCATAGTGTGCATCTAAATAATCGTGGAATATATAATCTTCTGTACAACTGTGAAATCTCAAAGCTGGATTTAGCACCCCTCACATCGAGTTTGGCACGGCCCCCCACAGCAGACTTGAGAGATTCATTCTCTCACACCTGGTACTGGACCAACACTCTGTGATGGGCTGTGGATGCAAGGAAGAAACAAGGTGCCTGTTCTCACGAAGCTTACAGTAATAGGGGAGTAAAACATACTTATTACTAAGCAGGAAAGGTGAAGGGACAGAAGACTGTACAAGGCAGTGTAGTGCCAAGAGAGAGAAGTGACTAAATCTGAGCAGTGGAGAACAGGAGTGAGGCTTGTGCCGTGTCCTGAAGGGTGAGGAGGAATTGTGCAGCAGAGAAGCCATAGAAAGCATTCCCAAGCAGGAAGCGCGCCGAATGGTCTTTCTCTTTCTGAACGTCTTTCGCACACATACATCAGTTGGCATCATACCTCACCCTGCACTTGTTTGTACATTACCCGGAAGTCAATTTCTTATTTAACAAACATCTTGATATACTCCAAACACACAATATCTTTTTCTTTAAGGAGAAGGGTCATGCTTCCTGTTACTGTTGTATCCCTCACATTGCCGTAGTAACGTCAAGCAAAAGGTAGGGCTACTTTGTGTTTTGTTTTATGTAATGGTTTACTATAGACCCATTGTAATGGTGGACTTGCCTTGCTTGTCCAGCATTCTGAATCCCATCCTTTTATTTCTTCCTGCCTCCCTCCTGTATCTATCCTTCCATTCACTTCTGTGACCAACATTGTGTACACACAAGATGATTGGTCCATATTATCAAAGAATCCTTGGCTATAGAATGAAATAGAACTAATTGTGCTCAATGGAAATGGAACCTGTGGTCTTGAGTTTTCAGATTGATGGTTTAAATAAGTTAGTTAATCAGCCACAGATTGGAGCTACATACTTACCTGTTGAATGATTTGAATAATCCCTTTATAGTATTCTAGACATGGTAAGTTAGGATCATTCTGAGCTTTACAAGTCATCACAATTCTTTCCTTATCAGTGATACTTATTAAGACATTTAGGATCTTGAAACGTGTCTGCTACTGCTCTGTAGCTCCATGCTGCACCATCTCCCCTCAAAATATTTGGCTCTAGTGTGGCACAGGGAAATAGAACGGAGTATTTGAAGACTGTGGGAGAAAAGAGGGCTGTGGCAGTTTTTTCTTTCATGATAGATGTGACCAATGCACCAGTTAATTTCCCCTAATATCTGTTCTCCCTTCTTCCATATTAGTAGGACCCCTGATTTCTAGTCGGGCATGTAGTTACCCTGAATTAATATTCAATTACCTACACTCCCTCAGAACTTGTGGCCATTTGACTAAATTTGAGCAATGGGATGTGGAGGAGAGTGATTGAAGAAACTGCTCGGATGAGCCCTTAAGGGAACCTACTCTCCCCTTCCTAATTTTTTCACCTTCCCACTGGCTGTCATGTAGTTGTGATGCTTAGGTAGCCGGGGGCTTGGAGATGAGGGCAACACCTTTGGGGTGGGAGAACAACAAGACACACTAGTCCCACCTTATCTGTGAGGATACATTCCTAGGCCCCTCGGTATCTGGCCGAAACCCTATATGTATTGTTTTTTTCCTATACATACATATGATAAAGTTTCATTTATCAATAAGGCTCAGATATTAACAATAACTACTAATAAAATAGAACAATATACATAATAAAACTTATGTGAATGAGGTCTCTCTCTGATAACCCATCTGATAACCAAGATGGCTACTACATGACTAAGGGGTGGGTACCCAGTGTAGGTTCTCTGAACAAAGGAAGGATTCACGTTCTGGATGGGACAGAACAAAATGGCTTGAGATCTCATCACAATACTCAGAATGACACGTAATTGAAAACTTATGAATTATTTCTGAAACTTTCCGTTTACTATTTTTGGGCTGCAGTTGTCCATGTAACTGAAAACATGAAAAGTGAAGCTGTGGAGGAGAGAGGACGACTGCAGAGAGAGCCCGGGCCCCCCGGACCTTCCGTGTGAGTCCTAGGCTGCTTATCCTCAGCGGTGATGTCGGAGGGTAGTACTTTTCCTCTTTAAGCGCTGACTGTTTTAGATCTGTTGTAGCAGCTGGTTAATACACAGGGGGATAAAAGCATGGGAAGTCAAACAGCTGAGTGACATGAACAAGATGAGAAACATACTTTTAAAGATATTTAATAAGACTTTTTTTCAAATCAGTACAAAAATTTAAATACAAGAATGATTTGCTGTTAAAAAATGTCAAATCTATCATGGAAACTCAAAAAAGTTACCAGGCTGTTCACTGCTCATGGTATTCTGTGAAGTATTGGAGAACGGTCACCCCCCGCAAACATTTGTTTTCCTTTTCTGGGATGTCATACTGCTTAAAACTCCATACTTAAATAGCAATAATACCAGCTGGGTCCTTTTTACATGAAGAAGTTTTAATTAATTTTTAACTAAACAAGGATTATAATACTATCCCTAGACTTTGATGTGTTCCCACGACGCGCAGCACTCAAAAGAGAAACACAGACACATAGATAATTATTTAAAACTCTTGTTTTTAAATTAAATGGAATAATTCATTTGCTCTGAGATTAGCACCATTGTAGAATACACAGTATCTGGCATAGAGTCTGCTCCTCCCTGTCTAACAGTTAGGAGCAGATGCCCGACAGTATACACACACACACACACACACACACACATATAGGCAAGTAGCAACCAATAAATAAGTTGGAAGGTATTTTGAAAAGTGAAATTTGGTTTTAACTAAATTAAGGTACTGTCTGTCTTGCTTGGTGGAAATGCAAAGCCCATACATGTACAGACAAATATGGTTTTACACACCAGTCGACCTGACTTGTCACTTCAACGCAGCTGTTCAGCAGCAGCCCAGTGGAGCCACACTGCCCTGGGTCACCAGCCCCAAACTAGCATCCTCAAGGCCAACCCGAAGTACATTTGGCTGCATAAATTCTCTCTGCTTTGAAAATGAAGGTTGGATGGGATGTATTTTTTTTTGATGGGGAAATTTTGTCACACAATTAGCAGTGAAGAAGAAACCCTGTGGTAATGAACTCATTTCTCTTTTTAAGAAATTGAGAAGAAATAGGGCTCAGATACCTTATAAGGGAAGAGACAGATATTGGGTTGAGGAGACTTTTCTTGATGGTTAAAGTGATTCAGATTTGACATAGACACATTTCCATGTGCATTTATACCGTATTTATTTGTGTCATTCTCCATCTGCAACTATCCCCTCAACTCCTCATTCTTAATATTATGGAAAAGATACAAGAAGCCACCACCATAACACCACAGTGTCCCCAGTGGCTTAGTGACAGCTGTAGACTCAACACTGAGTCAAAATACTTTGTGTTTTGAATCCAGATTTGAATGCCAGAAACAGTTAATATGCACCTAAGTGAAAACCTGGAACAACATTTACTTCTCCCTTTAAGTTTTTACTGACTCTCGCTTTGTGCTGAGTGTGGGGTGACATGAAAAGCAAGGGCTAATACTGCCCTTCGACGTTCCAGAAGTTCTTCCAGAGATTGCTTCTAAAGAAACAGGTCTTTTCCTCTCATTTTAGTAACCCCACCAGGAAGTAGTATATCTCCTTTTAAATGCAAAACTTCAGAAATTACCTTTTGAAAATGAATATTTTCCTATGTAATTCTGAAAATCTACACTCTCCTCCCCACCCCACAAATAAAGATTGGCTGGGATTTTGCAAATTGACTTTGGCACATCAGATAACACACCAATTTGCATGTGTACTACACAGGGGAATTTCTCTGAAACCCACCAACTACTGAAATATATTGCTCTCCCCCTCGTTTGTGTGTGTGGGCAGAGGAGGGGATTTTTATATTTATGTAAATACAATAATTGCTATTAATAATAAGCATTCCACAAAATTGGAAAGTTATGGGGGAAGGGGGTTATTTTTTTTCTTATCACTTCTAGATATTTATGTTACTTGGGCCACAGTGAAAATTACATAGAGGGAAGAAAAAAAGAAAGAAGAAGGAAAATAGACCGATGAGAAATAAATGAGTTAATTACTGCTCGTGTCTCCCAGCTGGTTCTTAGCTGCTTGTAGGGCACTGTCTCATGCCCCACAAAAGTGTCTCCCCCAGGGCTAGGCACAGAGAAGGCACTGAATACGTACACAGCGCCTGGTTGGTTCTAGAGACACTAGACACGAAGTTCTGAGTAGAACTCCTGTTCCCAAAGGACACAGCCTCTGGCAGGAGAGAAACAGCCCTTGCAACTAAAGCCCTGCCGTGCCCCTCCCACCGCCCCCTCCCATGGGGCTTGCACTGCGGAACTCCTCCCCACGTCCCACGGCAAAGGATCTGCACAGACACAGAGGAAATGATGCAAGTAAATACGGTATATAAATGTCATCAGTGACCTTTCCTTAAGCCATATTTATAAATATTTTAAAGTAAACAATATGAGTGAGAGACTTTCATTAGCTATGCTCTTCCATACTGGAGTATTTTGACTGATCTGAATAAGCAGGTTATCATGAAAGCACATAACATACAACAGCTAATATGATTCCAGTGGGTACAACACAAGTGTCAGCACTTGATACATAACATCTGTCCCATCATTTTCCATGACAAGATGCTGTGCAGAGCATTAAACATGCATCTTAACTTTGATTTGTACATGATGGTTCAACTTTTCACTTAAATATAACTTTCCAACTATATAAATGTTTTGAAGCAATTATGGTTTCCATTTGGACTTTTTGGTGCATCATTTTATTTTCTTCTATTAAATCTCTCTTTCTTTTCTTTTTTACATGGGATACAATAAATATCCTGAAAAGGAGGAGTGGACGTACTGCCCGGCATACAGTCCCGCGGCCTGCTCCGAGGGCATCTGGAGGAACACCCGGTCTCCGGGCCTCAGCAGCAGCACCGCGCTCCCCGACGCCTGGTCCAGGAAGCCCTTTTTGTACTCGTCGTAGGTGTACATCATGGGCTCATTGTTCTTGAACAGAGCAACCCACACGTTGCCCCCCTTGCAGTGAACATGGTACGCAAAGTAGTAGACGCCTGGGACTTCGCAGGTGAAGATGCCCGTCTGTGGGTTGTAGTTCTGTCTGCCATTGTAGAGCAGCTTGTCAAACTTCACCGGGGCCCCCACAGGCGGGAAAGGTGCAGTCAGCTCCGCGGTAAATGCAGGCATCTCGTAGGCTGGCCCTCCGTTCTTGCCTTTCTTAGCCCCGTAGGCGTGAGGGGGTTTCACTCCATCAATTCCCGGCCCCATATCTGGCAGAAATTCTCCACGGGGAGGCGGAGTAGGGGGCATCACAGCTGGGGGGCCTGGGGGGCCTGGAGGGCCTGGGGGCCCTGGAAGGCCAGGCTGGCCTTGAGGACCCAGGGCACCAGGCTTTCCTGGGGGGCCGTGAAGCCCTGCTACTCCTGGCTTCCCTACTCCAGGGAACCCAGGGGGCCCCGGGAGGCCTGGTTCCCCTTTGGGTCCTGGAATTCCAGGTGGTCCAATGGGGCCACTAGGGCCAGCAATACCGGGGATGCCCGGGGGGCCCTGTAAACCCTGATCCCCTGGAATCCCAGGTTCTCCCTTTGGTCCAAGCAGTCCTGGAGCACCGGGGAGCCCCGGTAAACCTTTATGCCCAGCCTCCCCCTTGGGCCCTATGGGACCTGGCAAACCCCGTACGCCAGGGGGCCCTGCTTCACCAAGGAAACCTGGCTTTCCTGGGAAGCCTTGAAGCCCCGGCTCACCCTTGGGACCTGGTGGCCCCTGTGGCCCTGCAACCCCACCTTCTCCTTTGGGTCCAGGAAAACCAATGGCACCTGGAGGGCCCATAGGACCTGGGATTCCAGGCAGGCCCGGCTCTCCTGGGGGACCCCCCACTCCAGGGGCACCTATTGGCCCTTTCTCCCCTCTTGGTCCCAGAGCCCCAGGAACACCTCCAATGCCCTTGTCGCCTTTGGGTCCTGGGAAGCCTGGTTTCCCGACTCCTGGAAGGCCCGGGGGTCCCGGCAGCCCCGGCAGTCCCTGCTCCCCTTTGCCGCCTGGAAATCCCGGCTGGCCAGGGATCCCATCCTGGCCCGGTTTTCCAACTCCAGGTATCCCGGGAGGTCCTTGAACCCCTGGGATCCCAACCGGGCCTTGTGGCCCAGGTTCACCTGGAGGACCTGGCTTTCCCAGGGGGCCCTGGGGCCCAGGGAAGCCTGTCACCCCTGGTTTGCCCACCCCTGGAAGTCCGACGGGGCCGGGAGGCCCGTGCATCCCGGGAGGACCCTTCAGGCCCGGCAGGCCTGGCATCCCAAAGCCCTTCTCTCCTTTCGGACCCTGAAGGCCTGGGGGTCCTGGTGGTCCTTTGGGTCCTCTCTCACCCTTTGCACCTGGTGGCCCTGGTAACCCAGGTCCGCCTGGCTTCCCAATGCCAGGAAGTCCGTGAGGCCCTGGAGGTCCTTGTGGTCCTGGGATTCCCATGGGCCCAACCTCCCCTTTGGGTCCAATTTCGCCTTTTGCCCCGGGCATTCCCATGGCCCCGGGCTTTCCTGGCATCCCGGGCATACCCGGCTTTCCAATGCCTGGATATCCCTGTGGGCCTGGTTTTCCTTTGATTCCAGGTATCCCGTGACCCGGTAAACCAGGAGGCCCAGGGGGTCCTCTTGGGCCAGGCTCTCCGCGGGGACCCTGTTCCCCTCGTAAACTGGCTAATGGAATTTCTGCTGGGAAAGAGGGGAGAGTGAGAGAGGAGGGGAGGGAGGGAGGGAGGGGAGAGAGAGAGAGAGAGAGAGAGAGAGAGAGAGACTGATTATCCTTCATTTTAAGGAAGTCATGACAATGATTATCTAGTTCTGGCACATTTACCCATTGCTTATTGAGAAGCAAGACTAGGCATACTGTGGTCATCCCCCAGGACTGTATGTTATCAGTAGTTAAAGGATAATCCAGATGATAATTTCTCTAATATACTGGAAATAGTGTTTTGAGAACTGATATCTGCAGCTTCTTATATTAGCATTGGTTAAGGGATGAAACTGAAAGTAATAAGGAAACATTTTTCCAAGTATAAAACTGGGAGATGTTATGGTGTGTTCACTACAGGCAATTTAGAAAATTCAAAAAAAGGGTAAAGAAAAATCAAGGTTGCTTATAAACCCACCACTCAAGAGATAATTATTTGACATTCACACCTGTATTTCCATCTCATATTCTAGGTATATGTGTGAAATTGTGTATTTTAAGTGATGCAGGAGTCATTCTCCCTTTTTATTTTTTCTATTTCTTTACTACTTATTATTATATTTTTCCATGTCCTTGATTTTTTAATATAATAATTTATGGAAAATATTTTCTCTTATGCAAACATACAGTGGGATAGGGATGAGGAAAGTCATTGTATGGACTCCAAGAAGAGCTGAAGCACTTCATTCGGTTGAGGGTTTAGTAACATCCTCCACTTCTGTCCCCTAGTGTCAGAGGTTCACTTAATTCATTTGATGTGCTGTAGGTTTCCTAAGCCTCCAATGCTTGTTCTTTAAGATGCTATTTCTTATTTGCTAGTTGGTTTTTAAACAGGAGAAGTGAATAGGATTTTAGGATGACAAGCACTGTGGACATGGAATGGAGCTGGGATTAGGAGCAAGAAGTTCAGCTCGTCTTCCTGCCTGTGGGGTCTTCACTGGCTCACTTCAGCCATCAGAGTCTCTGCTTGCCCATCTATACAGCAGGAATAATACACCCACACTATGGGGTTAGATAATGGCTGTGAAGGGTGTTATGCTTTCTTGAATTGTTATCACAATACAAAGCATATGTTACTATAGACAATAATGCTATGCCTTCCAGAGAAACATAACTCTGGACCCCCCACCCCCAATGCTACTGAAAGTAATACATAATATAAATAAATGAAATTTATGGTCCCAAAGTCTAATTTTAACCATTGGTTGCATCTTAATTCTGACTGTTGTATTTTTCACTTAGCTACTGTCAGGGAACAAAATAGAAGCACAGAACTCATATTCTCCAAATTCCCCGATTGAAATCTGGTTCCTGTCTGAATAAGTGCGGGATGTGCCAAGGACCAGGGAGGCCCTTTAAGCTACAGAGGGAAACAACAAAATTCTTTTCCCAAAGAGAAGAAAATTGTGCATACTTCTCTTATGCTAAGAGATTTTATTAGAGTACTGTTAATGGGTGCTATTTCTGATTAACTATAGAAATGATCCCTGAAAGTATAGTCTTGGCATGTTATTTCTAAGCAGTGAATTGTGTAGCTACTGTATACAGTTAGTGTATAGTAGTGTCTGGGGCAGGGTCTTCTTCATCAGAAATTCCTGGTGTCTAGCGCAGTGCCTGAAACTCACTCTGTTCTTACTTAGGGTTTGTTGCATGACCAGCTGTAGTAACTCAAAGTTCTCATGGTGCTTTAGTGTTAACTTAACACTTTTATTTACCTTATGTTATTGATTGTCTCAACAATCTTACTTTGCAGATGAAGAAAAGTAGTTGCAGAGGGGTTTAAATGACTAGGTCTCCCTCATTTCTGACCTCTGGGTATCTAAGCCTCTTAGTGCTAAATCCACTAGCTTCCATTAGTGAAGCTTCCTGCTTTTGCAGGGACCAGTGACATGGCCTCGATGTCCTCAAAGGAAGTTGCTACTCTGAGGCCACTCATTTCCTAAAAATGCTAGTCTTCCTAGAACTCCAGATAAACCCACAGAATTTATAAACAAGTGCCAGTCCCAGTGATAAGCATTTTGTGGGTGGTGAATAATAAATATGCCTAGAAAGTAATGGAAGAGATCTTCAGGTACCATCCCTAGATGCAGCCTGCACTCTTCAGTCTCCTTCTGTTGATTTATTTATTGCCATGTGTAGTAACCTAATTAGAGCAGTCTTAAAAACATTTGCATTTATCTACCACCTAGTTCACAAAATGCTTTCATATGGTTTCCCAAAAAACCACATAGCAGGTCCATACAACATTGTGCTCCTAACCCAGAGTGCTGATGGTTACCTTTCTGTTTTTCTGCTGCTTTCCCCGCTGATATTCCAAACATGGCACAAAAATATGTGTTCAATAAATAATTGCCAAATGTTGGAATAAGTACGTACTGAGTGAAGAAATAAACTACTTGTTCCTAAGTATGTTTTCTGACATTTGATGCTGCTGAAATAAAGCACAGCATAAAATGGTAATTTCATCTCTATCTTTATGACTTAAACTATTCAAGGATAGAGTTTAGAACAGAGTAGGCATTTAGTGACCATTAGTAATATATTCTAAAATAAAAATTTCTAAAATTCAGCCCCTTCCGCTGCCCCCCCCCAGCCAGTCTCCTCGTTGAGATTTTGGAAGGCTGCGATTCTGTAGCAGCACAGCAGGAGGATGTTACCTTTGCCTTTCTTGGGAGCTGCTTCCTTGCCCATTCTTGGCATTGGCTGAACTTCCTTCATATATTGGGGTAGATGTGGATACTCTTTGCCATACTGCATGTGGGGCAGCTCCTTGCCCATGGTAAGGCCATCTTTGCTCAAAGGCATGTGAGGTACTTGTTGGCCCAGGGGCTGGTACTGTGGGATTTGCGGTGGGATCTGAGGAGGAATTTGAGGCAGCGGCTTGATTCCATAGTAGGCACCGGCCTGAATGTGCCTGATGGAGACCAGGGAAATGGTAAGCAGCACTCCCAGCAGCTGCAGGGGGGCAGGCGGTGCGGCCATCACCTGGAAAAGGGAAGAACGCACCCGCATGGTAAAACTTGCAAGTGATTGCAGTGTATTTAGAGGAAGAAGGAAAAGAAGAAAACAGTATTATCAGAACTTTATGAGTGGAGAGAAATGAAAATTTGTTACCTTTCAGTAGAAAACAAAGAAAAATCAAACAAACAAAACCAGAAAAGAGTAGGATCTGTAAATGGAGGCAATTGGTGGGATTGTAGATTAAAGGAGAGACTGCTAGTTGTCTCTGAATATCGATTCTGCCTTCTCCCATAGTATTGCAACCCTTAATTTTCAGCTGGAACAAAGCAGCCTAGATCAAAGACCTTTCAGCCAGGTGTGGCCATGTGACAAAGTCCTGGCTGTAGTTGTAATAGGTGCACCTTCCAAGAAGATCCTAAAGAGGAGTGGGTGTGTTCTTCCTCATCATCCTTCTTGCCTCTTGCTGGCTGGAATGTGGATTTGTTGCCTGGAAACAGATCAGACACCTTGGACCATGAGGTGAAAGCTGTGCCCTGAGGAGCAACATACCAGAAGAAACCTCAGCCCTGGTTGAACATGGAGGCATCGTACTGATTCTTAAATTTAGAATGCATTTATTAAAGAGAGAGAGGAAGGTCTACTACCTTCTTTAAAACACAGTTATTTTGGGTGTCACACATCAGCACTGAACTTAATCCTAACAGATAAAGTAGATTCTCCAAAAGGAGGCAATCCTGGTGGCAAGTCAGGCTTTGTTAGTAAGTGCCAACCTTCTGTTCTACGTGGAAGCGACTGAGAATTTATAGGCTTTATGCCAGAGGCTGAGATTTTTCATCTGCCAGATTCCCTTTGGCTGCTTTGATGTGGTCACAAATAAATATAAATGTTAAAGACCTAACAACAATAAAAATGCAGAAGTCTAAATTGTAAAGAATGTTCTTCATGTGACAGTCTGAAAAATGTCACTATAAAGATTACTGTCATGATTATGTTCATACAGGGATGCCATGTCTTCCTTCTGTTTAAATACTGTGAAGTCATTCATTTAGAATTTGGCTAATTGTATCTGGAGCCCATTAAAGTTTATCTTTTTACTATTATGAAAGAAAGGCATTTACAAAGCAAATTAGTCGTATAAATAAGATCGAGATGTGTAAGTACTCATAAAAATAAACCATTTCTAATCTCTTAAATAACACCCTTTGCAAATTAGCAGTTGACAATAAATATAAATGGGACTTACGTTATCTGTTTATAAGAAGCTTGAAAAGACCTCTGAAATGCCCAGGGCTGAAGGCCCAACAGCCTAGGAAACTGCAGTGTTTGAGAATATGCACTAGAGGGCAAGTGTGGTACATGCTGAAGTCTGCTCAGTTACTCATCCCCAGTCCTAACACCAGATACGTACTTTGTTCTCACAGCTTCTCTTATGAAGGGACTTAATGAAAATCTAAATCCTAAGTGGAGCATCATCATAACACAGTAGAGAGAGGGGTGTGTGTGTGTGTGTGTGTGTGTGTGTGAGAGAGAGAGAGAGAGAGAGAGAGAGAGGGAGACAGATTTGAAATGCATCTTCTGGAAAACAATTAAATAAACTTCTGACTATAAATAATTTAGTTTCCATTCTCTTGAGAGTTTGTTTTCTTTTCTGCTGCCTTAATTAATGCTGGAGCATAGTTTTCCGCATCTTAGAAAATGTGCATTGACTTTGCAATATCCTATTCAAAAGTAATGCCAAGAGTATAAACAGGCTACAGAAGAACTGTTTAATAAAAAGCACCTAAGAAAATACTGAATTAAAGAATCCCTACCATAAAATTCACTGCTTTACAGGTTTTCTAAATATACTAACTAGGGGGAAAAATAAAGAAACATCTGTCATCAAATTGATTTGTACAACTTTCTCCATTTCATAAACCAGAAAAATCTCAAGAATTGTTTATTTCAACTCTACTCTAAATAATGTACTGATAAAATAAGAGAAGATAGAAAGCTGTTATTTTCTGTCTTTCTAAGAATGATTGTCATGAAGCATTTGTATAAAACCATAGAATTATTACTGATTTATACTGAATAATAGTCACATTTCTTTCAGGTGAAAAACGAACATCTGCCTGTAAGTACATGATAATCTATTGAGTACTTACCAGAAACAATGGTAGACCCACAGAGGGATTACAAAGATGCTGATATGGCCAGCAGGCCCTGCCCTCAAGGAGCTTATAGTAGGAGTGACATGTGTAAACTATTAATAAATAGCAAAGAATGTCCAGAAAACAGTGAATTTCCCTTCCACTTCTGTTCTTTAGTATCTAAAATCCCTTCTCTTTGTATCCCTTCCCTTTGTATCAGCAACTTTCCCCATTTTCTTCAAAATGTCCAGATATTTTAATGAATATGTGCATACAATACACTCCTGTGAAACACAAATTATACCACACTGCCCACACACAACTTTTCCTTATACTTTTCACTCAGAAGACCAGAACTTCAGGCATCGTCATCCCAGTTTTGTGCATCTGAACAGAACAGTTGTTGGAATGTTGGACAACATTCAGCGTCCAAGGCAGTCACTAGAGAAGTGAAAGTGTTCATTCATACCAGAAATACTTGGTAATACCTGGTAATGTATAAACTGGGACTTAATTCTACCTTTGGGGATGAATCAACTTACTCATTAACTCCTAAGTTTGTGGTGAGGTCTTTAATAAGCTAGCATACTTGGCCCTTCACCCTTCTATCCATCAATCCGGTGGATGTGTTGAATTGTATTTAATAGCCTTTAAACCTGGACAATCGAATGAAACACAGAAAACCGGAAGTAGACACAGTGCCTGGAAGAACACGAGCTGACTGCCAAAGGCCCAGTGGGATTCTGCTTTACTACAATTCCTCTTGCGAGCTTCGCCTTTCTCTCCCCAAAACCACGTCCTTCTGCCTGCCATCTGCAACATTTCTCTGACTTTTTATTTAAGTAAACTTTGTTCCGTTTTAACTTGAATATTTATGTAGGAGCTCTGGTTAGAATTTACCGCTTGACTTATCCTTCCTAATTTCCTCCTTGTCCCTGAGGATATTTTTGGTGGTCAAAGTGGTGTAGTGGTTCTTCCCAAATCACTGAAAAGATCCCCGGGTCTGTGTAATGCTATATGAACACCTGGGGGGAAGGAGTCTCAGGGCTCCTGCTGGGAAGAAATGGTGGGTTTCTTTCCTCCCTTTTCTTTTTCTGAGGATGCAGAACACAATAATGTTTTGAGTTCTATTTCATTTCTATTTGATAATGTGTGTGAATATGCATAAACATAAACATATAGAATGTGTGTGGATACTGGCTCTTTGCCAGCCATGCTGGCTTAGTAATGGGTGTCATATCACATAGGAAAAGCATCTGGGAAGCCAAAAGCCTTGCAGTTGAGTTGTAGCTCTGTGATTCTCCAGGTCAATGACCTTGGGCAAGTCCCTTATCTCCAGCTCCAGTTACCTTACCTATAAAATGGAAATTACAATCTCTGTCTCTCCCACAGAGCCATTCAAGGGCACTAAAGATAACATGAATTCTTTGTGAGCTGAAAAGCATTATTCACATTTAAGTTATTATTAATGGAGTGTGACCGAAAAGACCAATCAAAACCAACTGAAATGTCAAAGATTTTCAAAGAAGGATACTTGCCAAAGTAAATGGGAGGTTAACTGCAATAATGATAAACATAACATGAATAAAAAAGACAATGGCCATTAAAATGCACATATTAAAATGGCAGAAAAAATTACAGAACAGCAGAACCAAGGTGGCTATTCATTCAGGTGTCAGAGTCGCCATTCCGAATCATTCTGAACAGCCCTAAATTGTTTCCTATATTTGGGTAGGGCTGCAGAGAGTTTTGGTTTCCTCATGTGACCTATAATGTATGTAACAGAATAACGTGATATATGTTATTTTAGAGCCCCCTCAGCATTTTCTTTGTACGTTTATCCTCATGAAGCACTCTTTTGCTGCCCAAAAGAATGCTTACGTATTTAAACTTTCAGACTTTGCCCTGAATCCAACTTCCCCTTTCACATGGGGCCAACAGCACGTCTGGGTAAGCATGCGTGTGTACATGTGTATGCATGCGGTGTGCTCAGGTCTCTCTCTTTTGCTCTTAGGTGTCCTCTTCTGTGTCCCCCACTTGCCCCTGGCACAGGGCTTGCAGTTTCGCAAGGCCTCAGATTCACCACCCCTGAAGCACGAGAAAGGCCGGATCCTGTTCCTCCACTCACCGGAACTGTCTTCTCGGCTTTTCCATGCCTCTCAAAAAGAAATTCCCTGCTGACTCATTTCTTAGGACAATTAATTCATTAGATATTCATACTTTATTTTTATTTATACAGATCTTTATATTTAGTAACTGTTCTGGGTAGTAGAGATGAGTGGTAAAAAGGGAAGTGAGGTTCCTGATCTTACTGAACTCACATGCTAGTGGAAGGAGGCAGGCAATTAACAAGATAAAAATAAAATTTTAATTTCATATTAAAATTAAAATTTAATTTTAAGTGCTATGAAAAAACAAGGCAGGACAGAAGTCTTGAGAATGACTTGGGGTGGAAGACACTATTTGAAAAGGTGGTGGGAAGAACATCTCTGAGGAAGTACGTTTTGGATAGAAATGTGAACGTTAAAAAGTTTTGATTTCTCTTAAGACACAATGCTGAAAAAAGAGTCTTACTTATTAGAATGGAAGTTTTAGATACATTTCACTAATGTAAACCCCTGTTTTAAAACTTTATTCTTCATCAGCCCTGGCTGGTGTAGCTCAATTGATTGAGCGCCGGCCTGTGAACCAAAGGGTCACCAGTTCGATTCCTAGTCAGGCACGTGCCTGGGTTGTGGGCCAGGTCCCCAGTAGGGGCCACATGAAAGGCAACCACACATTGATGTTTCTCTCTCTCTTTCTCCCTCCCTTCCTCTCTCTAAAAGTAAATAAATAAAATCTTTTTAAAAACTTTATTCCTCATCTATGTCTATCCTCACTTTGACCTTATTA